AATTAAATTAACCGTTAACTGACTAGTGTTTTGAAAAGACCTTATTTGTTTTTGACCTCTCAACTACGAGCCTAGCTTGATTAAAACATTGGTGTAACAATCCACCTAAGTAGCTAATAAAAATATATACCTATATAAGATATATTCACTTTACATGTAACTATATATATTTCCGGTAAATGCCTAAATACACTTACTTATAAACAAGCAATTGTGTTTTGCGGTAATAGCAATCATTCCACTAGAACTTTGTGATTCTCGACTTCACCAACAAAGACTTATCACGTCGAAGATAATAACAACGAGCAGTTCGCACGTTTTCACAAATACAAAGACTCTAATGGTATTTTATTTCACTTTAAGCTCTGTTCTTGACCTAAATTAAAGACAAGCTGCAATACCGCACGTGTTTTGAAATTTTATTGACGGTATACAAAACTTACTTTTATCAGCTTTTGTAAGAGCAAATATTTTTTTTTTTTGAGCGGGATTTTTTGATATAATTTAAAGGTATAAACTCCGAAAAGACGTAATTAGGTAGTACTAATTAGAAAATCAAATTTTCAGTACCAATATCTACCTAGGGCGTAGGTTTCAAACAGGGACGGTAGCGCCTTCCCCGCACCCTCCAGGACGCTTGAGTCTTCCATGGGACAGTAGCGGATACAGGGTTAAGAGAACATTAATAGTTCTTTAATAAACTTCTTTTTGATAACATTTTCATATATATACAATCAAAAATAAGAAGATTCATCGTATTTGAGTTTAAGATTTAGGTACTTTGCTGGTACCTCTTTCGCATTTTCACAAATAACTAGATAGGTTAGGTACCTACCGATAATTTGTAATACTATTCATATAAAATTAATTATTATGGACTGGGACGCGCTCTTTTACTTCCTACGGACTAGAAAACAGACCGGGTTTGTCTAGTTTACCTTTATACACGATAGGATACTTTAAGGAAGTTGTTCTGGAATAGGCTGAATCAAATACTTTCGTATATGCCTACCGATTTGCATTTACTGAAATGAAGGTTTTCTTGTATTAAACATAATAGCATAACCTGACATCTTGATATCATACAAAAATAGCTCTCCCGCTCAAAACTTGTTAATTTACGTAATTTTGGAGAAAGCATTGATATTACTATTGAATAGGCATTGCATTTTTCTTTTAAAAACCTGATAGATGATGTGCATTGACTTGTGTTTTATATCACACAAACCCTAAAATAACGTCATTAGATAGACCAACCAACATAACTTGCCATAACCGTAGGTACTGTTCAAATCATACTGATTCTAGTAAACAGAAATTATTGATTTAATTTAATTCCTAAAAAGTTATTTACAACGAGCCATGGAAATGTCAATAAATAAATAAACGTTCTAACTTCTCTTAGTAACATTCAACTAAATTACACTCCATAGTCTATTATTTACCAGTACCAATGTTTAGTGTGTAAAACGGTCAACAATGTTCCATTTTGTATTTGCTATTTAGTTGGTATTTACCATTACAGACGCGGTATTAGAAACAGAAACATGGGAGCTGAATAGAGATATGCAAAATGATTTTTTAAAAGTACTTAAATACAAAATGCAAATACCTTTTTTTGATTTGTTATTTCAAATGTAAAATATAAAACAGATTTCCTTTTTGTATTTTAAATGCTAAATGCAAAATATGTATTCTCAAAATACTTTTTTTTAAATAAATACGCTTTCGTAGTACCTATTTTATTTTGTACATTTACTTAAGTATAAAATATTTTTTAAGAAAGCCTTGCAGACATTTGCTCATTTTTTAAATATTGGAGTTTTTTAGACTAATAGTGGTGTTTGATCTGTATCGTCAGCTGCGAAGATTGAGTATGATTCATATTTTTATAGTTTCTTCAGTTCACTAACAAATAATTCTTCTATATTCTTCCTTATTTACCTTTGTCATCCGTTATAATTGGAAAAAAGACACCGATACCAAAATATTTTGCTTAGAGTGAAAGATCAGAGCTAGAAACGGGTTGCAAATAATTTTATTGATGTAAACTCAACATCAATCATTTCATATCAAAATATTTACAACCTCATTTTGTTTCTGATCTTTTATACATTGTAATAAGAGAAAGAAATAGAATCCATAGTTTCTTTAGCTGTGGGTTCATCTAGTAAGCGAAGTTTTTCGAATCGTTTTCTAAGAATTTTGAATTATAAGCATACATTAGCACACCACAATATTTTGTAGTTTTGAAATTTACACAGCTGACGTATATCAATTCGATATTGTTTTGCGGGTTGTTTTGTCGTAATTCATAGAATTTCGTAGTTTCTTGTCAAAAGTACGATACGTGGTGATTTGGCAGAAGCTAATATCAATGTGGAACTTCAAAAATCCACGGACCATGACATTGAACCCGGAAAACAATATCGATCCAATATATTATATTACCCATTTCCAAGGGGTTTAGAATTTTTTGGGCTCTCTTCAGTTAAGGAATTACAAGTCATTCATGGAGTGTCTCTTTATCCCCTTTTTAAGCTTCTAATTTTATATAATGTTTGATCGATGATACTGGTGTGCCTCTACGCCTCCTAACTCCTGTTTCTGCCTCTAATATGTCTCTGACTAGACCTTCATGTCTGAGAAGGTGTCTTACCAACCTATCTCGCCTGATTTTTATTGACTTCCATGGAGTCCTCTGTTCTCCTATTCTTTTTAATACCTCTTCATTTCTACCCACGTTATCCTCATCATTCGCCTATAACACCACATTTCGAAAGCTTCTAACCTTTTCTTTTCCGCCGCGCCTACTGTCCANAAAGAGTTCAAGAAAACTAAAAGGAAACTGTACTTATATTTTGTTTTAGGTTATTACCTATCGTTATTACTCACTAACTTCAAAGCTTTTGATGGTTTTCATAAATCGAGGAGATTTTATACAGCTATTAATAAAATTTAAACAAAACTAAATTAATAAAAACGTCTTCAGTGTTGACGAAAGATGTCATTTACAGCATTGAATGAGTAAATTTTCGTTCTTCAGAAACCTCTCACGTGTGTACGCGTTATAAAGCTTAGCAGAAGGGATATTCTCGAAATGATTTATTTTATCGCCGATACATTAAAAGGTAAAGGTTTAACGTACATGTACGGATTACGGAAACCTAACAAGTGTATCGTAAAGTGATTAAATTGAGAAAAGCACCTTTGGAATTACACCCACTTTAGTTCTATTCTATATGGTTCAAGAAATTAAATCTCAACTTTATTTGATTTCGAACTCTGATTTGCGCGAACTAATTACTTTTCACTAGTTACTGGAGAAGTAAATGTGGAACTTGATTGTATGATTAATTTGCATACGTCTCTCCTCGGTTTAAATGTTTAATTAAAATTCAAACAGGTTCCCGTTAACTATATGGAGAATTAGTTAAAATTATTCGAGTGTTATACGCAGATTTCTTGTGCAAATGAAGAAAACTTTGACATCGACGAGATCCTCCAGAGTCTGCATAAGTTTTGAATAGATTCACATTTCATATAGTATTACACTCTAAAGTGAATTGAAGAACTAACTCGCGCTAAACAATTTAAAGTTCTTGATTAGAACTTGTTACTTGATATTAATAATAGAAAATAAGTACCACGCCATAAATCACATACTTACTATATAATTAAAATTAACATCATAAACATGCAACCTCAAAACTTAAACATACTGAATTATTTAAATTTTATATTTCACCGATAATTAATTGACCTCAGTTTTGAACAGTAGATGCGTATATTATATAAGTACTTTTACTAGGTATTTAGATACTTTTACTAGTCCGATTTACCCTCGTTTCACTCAGACAAAACCAGAATAATGGAATATTAGGTAATGCTCCAAAAGATTATATAATTTATAATACAATATACTTAACATAATTTCGCTTACTTCAATCGAATAAAATGAGGTAGATTGCATTAAATGCTTCTTAACGATTTGGAACAAATATCAAAGAAAGAGGGAACATTCGGAATGTATCGTTTCTTACTAAAGATATGAATACGAATTTTTGAACGGCAACTTTGCATTGTATTGCATAATTTATTATTTTTTCTGCTCTGAAACAACCAGAAGGTATATTTTTTTTTATTCCTGCAATCTAATTTCTTCGAAATAGAAAATATCACTATCCCTGCCATTTTCTATGTATCTGTTTCTGCTACGTCTACCGAATTTGAACACAATTTATTTTTCAAAACATAGGCTTTTCATTTTCTCTCTTATACTCATTAAACTTCATCATCATCATCATAAGGTCGTTAGTCCTAAGACTGGACACGCACATCTACTCTTTCCTATTCTGAACTAATTTTCGCATTTCCGTAAAACTAGAACATCCTACATCCTTAACTATTTGCGAACTTCTACCCCTCGTAACTCCTGTTTGTGACTAGACCTTCATGCCTGAGAAGGTGTCCTATCAACCTATCTCGCCTATTTCTTAGTGGCCTTCATAGAGTCCTCTGTCTTCTTATTCTTTCTAATACCTCTTCATTTCTAGCCTTCTCTATCCACGGTATCCTCATCATTCGCTTGTAACACTTCGAACGCTTCTAACCTTTTCTATTCCGCCGCGCCCACTATAAATGTTACGCATCCGTATAATGTGAAAACAAAAATGGAACGAGATGGAAAAAACATGCGGAAACTTTGCCTTCCAGTACCTAACAAATATGGCATAAACACAATCGCTATTCTTGGATAAAGAATAAAGCATGCGTCTAGGTAAAAATTGCTGTAGAACAAATTGTCATATCCTAAAGATTAGTGACAAAGTTGAGTTCTTTCCACTGTTGTTTCGATCTGCCATAGGACATTGATACATAAAATACGTTTCATATTCAATACCACGAGTATATGACCTAAAAGTCAAGTATGGAGTAAGGCTGGCGTAACTCGTCTCGGTAATTTAGGCGATTATTAATTAACTTTTGATATGTTTCAGATGGAGGGGCTGGTGCGGGAAATGCAGGACCCGGAACACGGAGTGCCAGTGCGAAGCCAGAAGCTTTTTCTGACATCTATACCCTCCGCCTTCATGGGTAAGTAGCACGGCTCTAAACGTATGCCTACATGAGAACAACAACAATTAACAATAACATAATTAGTTCTATTCATTTTGGTATAAAACTCATATTATAAGAAAGTCATTTTCATCTTCGTTTAATTTTCTGTATAATCATAATTTTATGCATAAATTTAAAACCGGATTATTTTACAAAAAAAATTCAAATTGCAGAATCTTCTTTTAATAACCGACAACCGTTGCGTCGTAGTATGCTGTATATAAAACTAAAATCTTACATCCCTTATTTCTTCAGATAGCTTTAGCCTGAGAAATTCTGAACTGTTATTAACAACAAATGAGCAAATAAAATCTATCAAATACCAAATGCATACCAACCACCTTAGTTGCAACAATTAAAACGGCAATTGCCTAGTATCTTTTGCTTTTTGAGGAAGGTGCCTACAATTAATTTCAAAAACAGTTATTCGCATAGTTCAATCGTTTTTATCGCATATATTTTGCAAAACCCAAATGATTTTACTACAAACTAAATGCATCTGAAAATATAATATCAAATGGTTTCTTTCTTATAATAACGTAAATCTACAAATTCTATATTTTCAAATACAGGCAGTGTATCGCCATCTAGTGGGTATTTGCTGCTACTAAAGTATTTCAAGCGTTAGGCAAGGCTTTACTAACAATACGGCAGGTATTTCAACTTGTTCAGTAACACCTGGATCAACTTCACTGAGACAAAGCTCACCCTTCTCGTCTTATCAAGTTGTCTGTTATCAACAATTAGTTTTCTATTACAAAGAACATTTTCGGGGTTCTCTTAATGTAGAAAGATGACCTTAAGCAAATGCACGACACCAGCGGAAACCCCAACTAATCCCTACGTACTGAAATAACAGAAACTGTTTTCCATTATCGAGCAAAACTCTTGCAATTTGGCCTAGTTCTGTTGACAAATACTATAAATGCGTTTCTCTTTCTTGATGTGTTCCTTGCGAATTAAATCTTAATTTAATCGCCAGTATCGTGTCGTTAGTAATAAAGTATAGACTTTATTTATGTCTACCATTATTGGCAATAACAAGTCTAATATGGTTCAACAATGAGATGTGACTAATTAAAATGGTAATTTTACAAAAAAGTACATACGAATATATATAAACACATAAATGTAGTTGAAGTGTACCTAAAGGATATTAACTGAGATTTTCTACTTTTAATGAACATGCACTTATCATTAGTTATAAGTATAACAACATACTGTTCCTTCTGTATATAGGTAAGTATAATTACGAGTATTGAACATAAAATTACCATACCTTGATATTTTGATAATAATCATATGTTTAGTTTGCGAGGTGTAATAAGGATTTGCACAGAAAACGTTCTCGGTAAAGAAAAACACACCTAAGGAACATTAAAAGTGTTATTTCTATAACACTGACCTACGTTTAACGCTGCGGTTTTAGCCTTACTAAAAGTAATTAAAAATTCATGCCAGACCTGAGTTCAATTGAAAGGTTTTCTCGCTGAAACTACAAGACAAAAATTTATCGATCCAAAGTTTGCAGTACATTTGTAGAGAAGATGCAATTTTCTTCCTACGTACATCCTTTTACATAGACATGTCACTCGCCAGATGCTTTCAATGTGAATCTAGAGCTCGTTCAATTTCGTTGTCACTAGCTAAAAGGACTCTGATTTTGCAACGGAAGCTTAAACTTTGTGATATGTGAATATTTACGTTGTATATAAAAAAAAGCAAAAGGCATGGTGTTTTCTTTTTACTAAATGCAGAACCAATAATAGTGCAATTTTACACTAGCTTTTTAAAGATAAATTTTAATTAAAAAAAACCACTCCTCAAAATCATTATTTAATGCAGGTATTTTAAATTTAATAAGTCAAAAAAAATACCCATATCTGAAAAATTTAAAAAACATTACCTAGGTAGAATGAGAAATGATTAGCTTATATGTACGTAAATGTGATACACCTGTACTCCATGTGCAGGGTAATATACCAATAACAATATTATGGAAGTATAAACTTATTCATAAAGTTATAAATTTCATTAGACGGGACATTCGAGATTAAAACAAATAAACAATGATCAGTAGTATTACAAAAAGAACTAGCATCTTAAACTTTGAGTCATTTAAAGTAGCGGTTCAGGCAATAAAACTGCCCTTGTTCATGCCTAACTGCAATTACAGCTTTATGGCACCATTCATAATTATGTACTTGTGCCTACAAAGCTCAAAACAGTTTTAAAACTTTCAGAAGGGTGTATTCAAACGAAATAGAACATAACCATCAGTGGCGCAGAAATGTAACAGAATAAATAGATAAACATATGCAAATATCGCAAGTAATTACTGTAATGATCTATTAAATATCAGTATTATGCCTATTTATAATGATTTTTTACGTACCTTTATTAAGAGTCATAAATAAGAGTTGAAAAGTCACTAACATCACTTATTCACGTTTATACGGGCACCGATTGAAATCCACGCTTGCAATTGTTTTAAAAATGGCAAAAATAAAGCACAAGAACAATAAAAGAGTCTCCCTATGAAGGTGTTCATCTACTAAAATATTAATATACGGTATAAAGGTGCGTATACATCCGAGCACGAACACGTCCGAGACAAGCGTCGCGGAGTAGACGATTCGCTTGTAGTAAAGATGGCCGCTCACGAACAAATTGTTGTAACAAACGACTCTTTGTCATGAACTATACGAACTACTTCTCGGGTTTCCGTTCGTTCCGATTCCAGCTCACATTTCAACGTTTACTCGACACGAATGTTTCGCGAAACGAACCGAACGAACACTACCTGCTAAGAGGTGGGCAACACGATTCTGCTGGTTAACCAATTCACAAATTCACACGATTGAATTTTATAAAACGAACCTATTTCCACAATTCGTTCATTTGAAAGACAATGACAAACTTATACCTGTCATTTTAAATATTTAAGTAGCAGGATAGACAACTTACTTTATCGCTGATGTTTATTATTAAAATTATATTAATAAATACATTAGGGCACGGGTCGGCAAACATCGGCTCGCGACACTTTTAAGAAAGCGGAACGGACAGACAGCCAGCGCACGCGCATATGTTACCGGAAACGTATGCAATCCGTCATTGTATACAATTCCTAGGAAATGTATAAAATTCCTAAAATCGCCCGGAAACGTGTGAAATAAATTACATTAGACTCATTTCCTAGGAAATCTATACATTTCCTAAATAGCAATCTGAAATGTATTACAGGAAATATTAAATAGGCAATAATACGGCAGGCTGTTACATCTCCAAACCTAACCTAACCTTACAATAGCATCACAAATGCATATACATCAGGCGATCGCACTAGAACACAGATAACTTTGATTTTTAGTTTACTAACGTGTTTTATTTACAATATCGGAATTTCATACAATTCCTAGGATGTATACATTTCCCAGGATATGTGTGTATTAAAAAATATTTGAAACAATATATTATACATTTCCTAAATAGCCTCCGAATTGTATACATTTCCTAGGAATTGAATACATTACATCTCAACGAACTAAATGTAAAGCTTTAAGGAAAAGGAGACATTGCATTTTCATTACTAAATGGTTTTGAAAATAAATTGCTTCCTTTGGCAGAAAATATGGAGATTCGGACAGCACATTTTTTTCAAACCTTAAAGAATCATCGGGATTGAAACAGTGGCTTCTATTGACACTTCACAAGAACGATTTAATCAATTCAAAAATAATAAGCCTACCTTGGCGTTCATAGCGATTCCTCTCAAAGAAAACGGCTAAAAACTAATTTTTGTTCCATTTAATATCAATGTTGGTTCATTTGAAATCCAATTACTAGATTTAAAAAGCAAAGATTTGTGAAGTTAGAAATCCACGGTTCTAAGTAGTAGTTTAAAAGAGCTTGAAAGGCATAAAAATCTTTTGATATGGCAGCACAAGTGGACAGCTCTAAAACGGATGCATATGCCTGAGACACAAATATTTGATACCTCGAATTGTCTTTCGGAATGCTACGACCAAATAAAAAAAATGGCTTTTGGTGTGCTGCCGATCTTTGCGTCAACATATTCTTGCGAGCAAGTTCTCCATTCTATGAATCTAGTACAGAACAAGCTAAGAAACCAAATAACTAATCAAAAAGGGTCAAGTCTTAAACTAAAAACTACTAGCTATGTGTCGAACTTACCAATACTTTCTAGAGAAATTTAAGGTCTTCTTTATCCGATACAAATTTTATTTAAAATGTAAAAGCCGAATTAAAAATTCGTGGCTCATTGAAATTCACAAAGCAGTATTTTTATTGTCAGTGGCCTTTTCAGCTTAAAAGTTTGCCGACCCACGGATTAGAGCAAGGAACACATTGTTCTATCTTTGTTGCTTTTAGAATAGACGTCAAGTATATTAATAATGTAAAAAATATCTATATTTTAAGTAAAATGGTATATCTAATTGTAAGTAAAATAATGGTTGCGCTCGTAAAGAAGTTGTATACAAAAACATAAAACACTTGCGCCAGTCTATTAATAAAACGCGTTATTTTGTCTTGCAAATGTATATACTTATTTAATATTACAACAGCTACAATTAAGTACTTCCCTACGTAGGTTCTTTTTAAACAAAATAGAATAATGAAAATTTATAATCTGTTTGAAATGTTGAAAACGTGAAATCGTTAAATATACATTGTAGTAAGAAATATTTACGAATTAACGATACGTGACGTTGTAGAATAATTCATTTTAGGAATAACAAGTAATTCATACCATCCAGCATCAACACCGTAAGCAGCTAATTGATTCTTGCGATTCTTTTATCTAATCATTGATGAACGAATTACATCATTATCATAAGATCGTCAGTCATAAGATTGGTTGGACACGTACCTCCACGCTTTCCTATCCCGAGCTAATCTTCGTATTTCCCTAAAACTAGAACAACCCACATCCTTAATGATTTGCGAACAGT